TATATATTTTTTTTTTAACAAGAAATTAGTTTCCCTTTGTTTTTCCACATCTCATCAGCTCATGTATACAGTAGCATACACTAGAGGGGTGCTGATTTTTTATGTTAAATATGCAGCTGCATATTTTTGCCATAATTTCTAGTTTTAGTCACCTATACACTAAGAAAAAAATATGTTGGCATAGTTGAAAAAATTTAAATAAATAAAAATCAATATTTTTTTAATGAAGCAATATGACATTGGCCTTCAAAAGATTTTTTTTTGCACAGCTGGGTTTATAAGAAATGAAAAGCTTGGCTTGTTCCTGTCTCAGGCTTGACATTTATGAAAAGCATTGGTTTCCAAATATTCTTACCTTAGAATAAACAGAATAGAGATGTAAGAATATAGGACATCAAGACGTCTGAGATTGTTAACATCTTATTTGGAAATTAAAACTACTTTCCTGACTAGATTTTCTTTGGGGGATAGGGTTGTGAATACGAGTTTTTGTGGTTGGTTTGTTTTGTTTTTTGGTGGTGTGTTTTTGTTTTGTTTTGTTTTTAATTTCTCTTGTCTTACTTCCATGGTATGATTGATTCCTTAGTCCAGAGCATTACTTAGAATTTACTTAGTCTTTTACTCTTGGAAGTCTCCATTATAACTGAACGTTGTTTATCTGGAGGTGGACACATTTCACAGATAAGAAACTGAGGTATTCATTCAGAGGGGAATATATTGAGGGAGATCTAGTCTGAAATGAAATGAAAAGTCATTGCCACAGAATTAGAACTGACTCACAGCTGGCCCTCCAGTGGGTTTTTCAGAGGCTGTAAACTGCCTATCTTTCTCCATGTAGCAGCTGATGAATTTGAACCTTTGGGTTGGCTTGCAGTTCCTTAACAATTGGAAACTGAAGCTATTCCACTGGCTCTGCAGGACCAGCCCAGCCGCAAGTATATGGCATCTCCACTTTTTAATAGGCCTCTTTTAAAAGTTTCTCACATCGCAGGGAAAGGAAGGAAAACAAAATAAAACAAGAGCGCTTCCCCTCTGCCACCTGCCCTTCAATGAGGGAGCAGAGATTAGCAGTGCCCTCTCGTCCTGAAGACGGAAAGTTATCTTTATCTTTTCCTTCCTAATCTCAGAAAGAAAGAAATAAAGGAGGGGGGTCGGAAAAGGGATAGAAGAAGAGTGAGCTATACAGGTACCTTTACCTCTTCTATTTAGATTCCATTTTGACCTCTTGTCCCTCCCAAGTAGGATTAGGTGGAGAAATGAATGAAGCTAAGTTTTGCACAGACTTGAGGTCAAACCCCAGCAAAGACCTATCTTCTCCTTTAGCATCGCCCACTGGCCTCCTAACCGTCTGTTTGTCTGTCTAGCGACGACCCTTGGAGGGCTGCCAAAATGATCAAGAGCTACATGCAGCAACACAACATTCCCCAGAGGGAGGTGGTCGATGTCACCGGCCTCAACCAGTCCCACCTCTCCCAGCATCTCAACAAGGGCACGCCCATGAAGACCCAGAAGCGAGCTGCGCTGTACACCTGGTACGTCCGCAAGCAGCGGGAGATCGCCCGACGTAAGTGCTCTTACCCTCTCCCGGCCTCAACCTGGAGTGGCCTTTACTCCGGTTCTGATCCTCCTGGGCTGCCTAGGTTTCCCCTTCGCCAAGATGTCTACTGAGTGAGATTGATACAAGACAATTGGCAGCTGGATTTGGCATTCACGTTTGCAGTACAACTAGTTGTTTTGAAAAGTCCTCCTTCAGTGTATGCAAGAGACCGAGTTACCCCTGTTTCCCTTTGAAACCAGTAGGTGAAGAGAGCAGAATATATTCCCCAAAGCTGGCTAAGCAACTTTGATTTGTAACTCTTGATACAAAAGATTACAGATCAGAGATCCAAAGAAATTTCCTAGTACATCACTAACAGTTATTTTCCTCCCCTGGAGGAACTATTTTATAAACAACACAAGGTGTGCCTAGATCTTTTCAGAACCTGCCTCTGTGATGTTGTTTATTTGGAACAACAAACAGTCTGCTGGGGAGCAGACTGAGTACTGAGATACTTTAAGGCGCTTATTCACATTTACAAAAATTAACCTTTTTAGACATCAGCTGGTAACTGTCTGATGAAACTGCTGCTAAGGCAGGTGTCTGCATTTTGAAATCTAGCTGATTCTCAAATTTCCTTTCTGTCCCAAGACTTCTTCTCCCAGGAGCACTGGGAATTCTTTTAAAGAGTGGGGAAGTTGGAACTGCATTTGAATAATAATTCGAATGATGCTTTGTTATTTTAGCAATGTAGACTTGCAGAGCTATGGTTGGTTTTCTTTTGTTTTTTTCAATCTGGCCCTTTTTTTAATGAACATTTTCTCTCCATTTCATGCTCCCCACTGTTCTCTGGGCCTGGATTTCTCTGTCTGACAAGATGTGGTCTTCACCACTTGATGGAGGGAATCTTCTTTCCTTCTCACTGGTTGCCCAGTGTTTTAAAATGTTCTTGTTCATTGCCATGCTCTAGAGTGATTGTTTCCGTATTTATTATCTCAGTGTCTAATGGCTAGAAATGTCTTCATGATGGAAAAAGAAAGGTTTTAGGCAGTGATCTCATTTTGTGGGGTGGTTGGTTTTGGATTTGTTTGGGTGTTTTTTGTTGTTTTTTTGTTTGTTTGTTTTCTGGAAGCATAAGTAAAAGGACAGAGTAGAAATAAAAAGCAAAGTGAGAGCTATTTGCTGCGTAGATGGGAAGACAGCACTGAAAGTATGAGTCCACTTACAGCTGGTGGTAACTGGCTCTTTAGAAATGCAATTCTTCTTGAAGCAATTCTCTGTAGTTCCAGAGAATCCTTGAGGTCTGTCCTTAACCCCATCCAAGTTTAATAAGGCATCTCCAATTTGAGTTGTGTCTCAATTTCCAATGGAACTTCACTCAGAAAGAGAGTGGGAAAATGTCATCTGGAAGGTTCTAAAAAGACAAAAGTCCCCGAAATCTCAAGATGTTTGGAACAAGACTTTTTTTTTTTTTAAATGTATGGCATTTTCTGATAGATTTGTTGGTGTCACTGTTATTTTTTAAAGTCACATAAGAGAAAAGTTCAAGATACTTCATCATATACATATATGAACATCTGTTATATGCCAAGACTTGTTGGGGGATTAGGGGTGGGAATTGTGCTAGATTCTGGGATACACATGTCTAGGACTTAGAACCTTATCACTAAGGAGAGAGAGTGAATGTTTAAGAATGACAGCAGCTTGCTAAGAGCTGTTACACAGGCATACACAAGCGGCAGCAGAGAAGCTGTTAAATTATCTGGAGACATGGCAGAGGGTTTTCTAGAGAAGGTGACGTCGGAACCAAAGTTTTGAAGGGTGACCACAACACAAACATGAAAGGGGTGAAAATGAGGAAGTAAGAGGAACACAAGTAAATGGAGTGGACATAAGATGGAAGAGAGGGGAAAAGAAAAAAGATTATATAGAACTCCCTATTTCCTTGGAAACAAACAAAAAAGCCTAGTGGCAAGAAGCTGCACTGTAATCTCAAAGGCGGGTGGTTTGAACTCACCAGATGCTCTGCTGGAGAAGGAGGGGCAAACTCCTCCAGTACCAGTGGAATCTGATTCAATAGTACACAACAAGGGGGCACAGGGAATGGTAATATTCACAGAATTACCATGTCCAAGTGTGCTCTTAAGCCTATTACGAGGCAGCAAGAGCCAGCTTCCCTAAGTTGATTTTTATAAGCAATGAATAGTTCTCCTCCTCTGAATACCCAGCAAAGAGGTGATGGAGGGGGGTTGGTAGAAGTGCAGGCTGTGCAGGTATCGAATTCTTTAAAACTGATAGAGGCTGCTGCCTGGTTCCTGGAGGGGGAAGAACTTGAAGACCAGTTAGCCCAGCTGATCCTGGCATCTGCTGGGTTCCAGGCTGCTGCTTCTCCAAAGGGTAGCAGAGAGGGAGGAGCTCCAAAACTGTGGGACACTTGAGTGTGTCTTCCATATACCACAAACAAAGCTTCAGGGGTTGATTTTGTTACTCCCATATAAGTGAGATTTGAGAGTACTCTGGATGTGTTATGTGGGTTTTGTTTTCAGTGAGAGTTGATACATCAGCTGGGCGATTCAATCCTGGCTCCAGCTCCAAATCCATTCTACTTGGGCCAAGTCACTTAACTAGTCTGAAAATGGAGATGACAAGAATTCTCATATGGAGAGGTAGTGAGAACTGGAAATGAAGGGATGCATTTCAAGGACTCAGCACAGAGACCTAACCATTGAAGTGGTTCAATAAATCCTGACCATTATTTTAACTTTTGACATAAAATGAAAATCTCAAATTTACCTCAAGTTCTCAAGATTATCAAGACTTTTGGTATTCCTCAGATTTACTCCACAGGGCCACCCAAGGCCAGAGGGAGCAAAGAAGACACAAACACAGACTCACACTGAACAAAGAACATTCTCCCTATATGATTGTCCCTAAGTAGCTACACATATAGAAGAGAAATAACATAAGAACAGTGAAAGCACTTGGAAAAAAACACACTTCCACAGGCTTTTGGGTCAACATCATCATCATCCTAATCAAGATTCCATGTTCTAAAAGACTATGTTATGGTTTTTGAGTTTTTAGCCAATGCCACTGACCCTGGAATTAAGCAATTTGGCGAGAGTCCCATATTAACCCATTGAATCATGACCTCCTGTTAGCTTATTTGGTGGTATCTAAAGGAGTTGTTGGGCACCAGTGAAAGCAGAGCCCTAACATAGCATGAGAATCCTTCAAAGGGAGTACATCCCAAATCAAAGGCTCCAGTGGCAAGCTCAGTCCATCACCTGAAACACATATCACTTGCCAGCAACTGGTTAAACGGGTTAAACAAAGATTACTTACACCTGCAGCTGGTAAATCCATGCTAATTAGGAGTACACTGATCTTAATGGATCCTCATGTAGGTAACTTCCCCACTGCTGGAAGTGTGTAGACACTTGGTTAAGGGTTATACAGGGGATTCAAGCCTTACGTAGTTGCCTGACTTTGAACCTCAAGGACTTTGGATTCTAACTGTCCAGAGAAAGTGTGGCTAACATTGAAAAGAATGGGAATCCCAGAACACTTGATTGTGCTCACACACATCTATACTCGGACCAGGAAGCACTTGTCAGAACATCAAGGAAACAGTGCATGGCTCAAAATCAAGAAAGGAGTGAGTCAAGGATGTGTCCTGTCTCCATACCTTTTCAATCTATATGCAGAACAGGTCATTTGAGAGGCTGACATTTATAATGAGGAATGTGGTACCAGGATTGGAGAAAAACTCAACAATCTGTATTATGCAGATTACTCAACCTTGCTTGCAGAAACTGAAGAAGACCTGAAGCATTTGCTGCAGAAGGTCAAGAACTGCAGTCTTCAATATGGATTGAACTCAATTTCAAGAAAACAAAGATTTTTTTTACCACTCGGCCAACAGGCAGCACCATGATAGAGGGAGAAAAGATTGTGATTGTTAACAATTTCTGCTTGCTTGGGTCCACAATCAACACTCTTGGCACCAGCAGTGAAGAAATCAAAAATTTAACTGTACTGGGAAAATCTGCTCTCAGGGACCTCTCCAGAATGCTAACCACCAACAATGTCAGTCTAGATTCTAAGGTGCACCCGATCTAGGCCATATTTTTCACAACTACTTGCTATACACCAGAGAACTAAACAATGACTAAGGGTGACGGAAGATGAATTGATGCCTCTGAGTTGTGGTGCTGGAGAAGCATGCAGATGTGAGGGAGAGGACAATAAACTTTCTTCAAGTAAATACTGAATCTCACTTAAACCATATAGGGTAAAGTATCACTACTAGCCTGAGCTACTGTCTTTCTCTTATTCATTCAACAAAAAACACACTAAGGAAAAAAAACAAAACATACTAAGAGTCACAATCTACCTGGGCCCTGGGAATTAAAGGGAGCATCATTCATCTGCATTTATCCTCCAATATATTAAGCACCATTTTTACAAAGGCCTAATGCCTACAGTCTTCTGTATTTGTTGTGTAGTTAGGTCAGTTTCTATTCTATTTAGAGTGACTGGATATACAACAGAATGAAACTCTGGTAGGTCCTTTTTATCCTCACAATTGATGTATATTTGAGCCCATTGTTACAGCCACGATAACCCTCACTGAGGGTCTGTCTGTTTTTGGTTTTGTTTTTGCTGACCCTTTACTTTGACAAGCATGTTGTCTGTCTTCAGAGATTGGTTCCTGCTGATAACATGTTCAAAGTACAAGAACATAATTCTCACCATTCTCATTTCTAAAGAACATTCCAGCGCTACTTATTCCATCAGAGACTTAGTAATTCTTCTGACTGTCCATGCTATATTGAATTTTAAATTATGCCACCTCAGCATAAAAAAGTTCAGAACCTTTCCTATATTAAGGTCAACTTTACTTTGAGGAACAGATTTGGTGAACTGATCAGCAATGACTGAAGATGAGGTGAGTCAAAAAGTCATTAAAAAGACAGAAAGGGAAAGGACCAAAATGAGTGTCAGAGTGACCCTGAAATGTGATCTAGAATGTAGAGAAGTTAAAGTGAAAGGAAGAAATGATAAAGGGAGCTGAACAGATTTCAAAGAATAGTTTGAGAAAACAAAGCAAAGTGTTATGATAAAGATCACAGAATTCTAGAGTTAGAAAACCCAAAGGAAAGGACAGATGGAGCATATTTTGAGCTGAAGAAGTGAAGGATAAAATCCAGGCCTTGAGATGCAATAGTGAAGTATTCTATTCTATGGGCAAAATATTGAAGATGCAGAAAATATCAAAAGAATATGAAAAATATATACACAGGCACTATAAAAAAAAAAAAGTTCAGAAAGCAGTACATGTTCAAGAGCCCATGGTACTTACAAAGAAGTCCAAGCTACTCTGAAGACACTTGGAAAAGGGTTTGTTTGAATACAAGCTGACATTTTCCAAAATACAAACACAGTGCTGGAGTTACTTACCCCTTTTTGCCAAAAAATCTGGAAGGCAGCTAATAGTAAACTGAATAGGAAAGATCCATGTCGTGATCCAACAGAATTGTGGTATTATCAATCAGTAGCATTAATATATGCAAGTAAAATATTGCTGAAGAGAATTTTTTAAGTGGTTGTAGTAGTGAACCAACAAGAAACTACCAGAAATAAGTCTAATTCCAAATAATGGGATAAGCCTCAGTGCTGATGTCAGATGGACCTTGGCAGAAAGTAGAAAATACTAGATGTTCAATTGTGTGCAACTCTGAAGATGGCACAAGGTCAGGCAGTGTTTCAAGCTGTTGTGCACAGAGTCACTGTGAGTAAAAAGTGACTTATTGCACATAACAACAGCAAAGAACCAGCTCTTCTCCACTCCTATTCTGAGTACTTTGCAACCTAAGGAGCGTGTCTATATCAGACAATATGTGCCATTGAGTCACCTGCAACCCTCTGTACAGCACCTCTGAACTCTGCCCTGTTGAGCCAATGTCACTAATTCCGACACACTAAACCCCATTGCCTCAGTTACTATATCAATCCATCTCATCCGGGGTCTTCCTCTCCTGCACTGTCCCTCCACCCTTCCAAGCATGATGTCCTTCTCTAAGGACCAGTCTCTCCTGGCCACATCCCCAAAGTGTGTGAAATAAAACTTCAAAATCCTAGCCTCCAAGGAGAAACTTTGTCACTCTCTCCAAGACAGATCTATTCAGAAGTAAACTACCAGAGAGTCTCATAGTCTGGAAATTCTGAAACCTGTCTACCATGGGTGACACTTCTGGAATTTGAAATACCCATGGCAAAGCTTGCAACATCACAGTAACACGCAAGCCACCATGGTGTCAAAAACTGACAGCAGTGGTTTCTGTACTTACCAAACTTCAAGTTCAGGGGCAGATCTGTAAGTCCTTTTCCTCCTGGGCGCCCACCTTCATAAAATAATCCCAGCAGACAGAAACACACAAACTCCCAATGCCTTTGAAATTATTTGAAATCTAAATAGCATCTTCTCTTTCTACCACAAAGCTCTACTTACATCTAGGGAACTCCAGTTTGCCTAGGAGACAGGAAGTTGCACTGTCAACCCAAATGCAGGCAATTTGAATCCACCAGCTGCTCCCTGAGAGAAAAAATAGTCTTCTCCCATGGAATTTACAGCTTCTGAAAATTGGAGGATCAGATATGAGTTGGTTCTAACTTAGAGCAATTAATGAATAAAGTGAAAGTAATATTTATTTCCAAACAATCTTTGTAAGTTTTGGGTTTGGCAATTTTGTAAAGAACTCAGCATTGCAATGTGCATAAAAGCAAATGAAACCCATTGTCACCTACTTGTACCAACTGATAGTGACTTACAGGAGAATTGCTCCTGAAGTTAGCCAGGCTGTAATCTTTAGGGAAGCAGAGTTCCACACATTTCTTTCACTTGATTCAGGTGGTGCACCTGAATCACATGCTCTTTCAGGAGCAGTGGAACATTTTGACAACTGTCATCAGGGCTCCTTTAAAATGTGAACAGTCAGGATATATAAGGAAAGGGGGGCTCTGGGAAACTTTTTAGGATCCTTGAATATTTGATCTAAATGCAAATAGATCTAAAACTTGTTTGAGTTCATTCTCTTAACATCAAAACGCATGGGTTCTGAATCCAGAGTGTTACTTCAAGTATGAGGGCTAGAGTCTTTAAAACTGTGGTTGTCTGTGTTCGAGCTCTACAAAGGGCAAGAGTCAAATAAATGACTGAGGGGCTCTTCCTTGGGACTCACCTCAGTAGCCCCCTACACAATCATGGCAGATTGAAAAGTTTAGGGTAAAGGAATAAAGCTGTCTTTGTCTGTCTATCTACTGGTAAAGGCTACGGATCCTATCAAATCTACTCCTTTCTCTTTTCAGAATTCAACCAAACAGTCCAGAGTACTGGAAATATGACAGACAAAAGCAGTCAGGATCAGCTGCTGTTTCTCTTTCCAGAGTTCAATCAACAGAGCCAGGTGCCTGGGCAGTCCGATGATGCCTGCTCTGAGCCTGCCAACAAGAAGATGCGCCGCAACCGGTTCAAATGGGGGCCCGCATCCCAGCAAATCTTGTACCAGGCCTACGACCGTCAAAAGAACCCCAGCAAGGAAGAGAGAGAGGCCTTAGTGGAAGAATGCAACAGGTAACACCAGAAGTTAACCCAAGCAGACACATGAACCCAAGAACCATCCTGGGTCCTGGGATATTGTGATGTTCATCATCCAGTAACTAGTAACCCAGCTGCCATCAAGTAGATCACTCCTAGTCATTCCCATGTGGAACTGTGTGCTCCATAGGCCATCCCATGCTAATTTTTCAGAAGTAGAATGCCAGGACTTTATTGTGTGGCACTGCTGGGTGAGTATTTCAATTAGCAGACAAACAAGCTGTCTGTACCACCATGTGATTAAATTAGGTTCCACAGAACTCTAATTTTAATTTAATGAAATAAGATTACTCTTATTTAATCTTAATGAAATAAGTTTGGGAACTACTCATTGCTTCTCCCTCCCTTCCTTTTTTGGAATTCATGACATAAATTCATACATTAAAGGCACTGAGAAGTCCTGCAGTAAAGAAATTACTTAGATTTTGTTGATTTTGCTGTTAGCCATAATCATGGAGTTATTTTTCTACAGAACCCCTATTATTAATTCCCAAGGAATCATTATTCCAGAAAAAACATTATGGAGGATATTGGTATAAGATATGCTGTAAGAGAAGTGAGAATTTTGTAGCCCACACACGCCAGGGAAAATGTATCCCTTACCTGCAAGCTTTGGCTTGGACCTTTACCAATTGTCTTGCACTCATTATAAGAAAAAAAAGGAAACTTGGTAGAAGAATAAGAATTGGTCAGATCTATTCAAACCATCCTGCCATTATGGCTCAACAGGTGTTTTGTTTTGGGGTGGTTTTTTGTTTGTTTGTTTTCATCTTAACAACTACATGTAACTTTAAAGAAAAATTATTGGAAACCCTTGGGAAACTTTTTTTTTCATTCTTGTCTTCTTTTCCTAGACTCTGATATTGACTCTAAAAAATAAAATTTCCTTTTAAAAAATCTACTTTTTGCTTTGATCAAGACCTGTGGGCTCTTTCCTTTGTTTTCTCTCTAGCTTGGGTCAGTTTCATGGGAGGAGAGGGCAGAGAATGTAGCCAGGCAAGTCAGGCCAAGAAGTGGAAAGGCAGAAGAATCCACCCCCATGGGCCAAAAAGCCCTTAGTCTGTGTTTCTGTCCCTGTGCTGAGGAGAAGCCCCTCAGCATTCAGTGGTGTTTTGCCAGCAATAAAACCTGCCAGCTAGCCTTTTGAAGGAACTCCTGCAGGACAAATAAAAAAATCTGGCTTCCTTCACTCGTCCGTGTGTGCAAGCTTTTCAGAGAGCTTCCAGGGACTTTGCCTTTGGTTAGAAGGCCCACTCTGGACCTATCCCCTAATCACTTGATTCCAGCTTGCTTTTTCATCTGGAGCCATTCTAGAGGCCTACATCCCTGATTTCCAGAGATGCATCACTTGCTCTGTACTTGACTTCAGAGCCTACCCAAGCTATCTTCATCAACTAGCTGGATTGGCTTTTTTTCAGGGCAGGATTTTTTCCCATCCTCCTGTTCTATCCTCAGCCATCTCACATTCTTAACCAAGACTACCTAAACTTTCCGTTTGGGGCCAAGCACTGGCAACCTCTTCAGGCCACCTATACTCACCACGACCCCTCTGTCCATTCCCAGGGCAGAATGTTTGCAGCGAGGCGTTTCCCCATCCAAAGCTCACGGTCTGGGCTCCAACCTGGTCACTGAGGTCCGTGTCTACAACTGGTTTGCAAACCGCAGGAAAGAAGAGGCATTCCGGCAGAAGCTGGCCATGGATGCCTACAGCTCCAACCAGACACACAGCCTGAACCCCATGCTTTCCCACGGCTCCCCACACCCGTCCAGCACCTCTCCTCCAAACAAGCTGTCAGGTAAGCAGAGTCTGGGCCTTACTGCCTCGACAAGTGGACTAAACTGGTATTTCCAGCAGGTGGCACCCAGTCCAAGAATGTTTATAAAATCAAATGCTTTGAATGGTACTAGGACAGGTCTCCTCTCACTGCTATTCTTGAGAAAGAAGAACACGATTCGGTCAGACTGTTTCTGACTGCTGTTCAACATTTCTGTGTAAGAGATACTTCAGCCTCTAGGGAGCTGCTGTCCTCTAGTCCTTATTCTTCTATTTGACTGTTGACTCAATAGGATTGGTGTAGCCATCGCATTCTATAGAGAGCTCCCCTGGAGGAATGTTAGGTGCAAAGTGTCAGCCGTGAAGTCGTGATGGTGGATCTTCAGCTGTTGCAATGGAGAATGGTGCTGAATCTTCATGTCCTACCCCTGGCGCTCTTGTCCGGCTGCAGCAGAAGCAGGGGCTGTGGAAAGGCCATTCGACTGGCAGGTTTTGCTTATTGGTTCCTGTACTTCAGTGGGTTCAGGATGGTGTCAGTTACTTGAAGTCTCTGCAGTGCTGAGAGGGCCAAAAGCCACTGGGTATCTTCAGTGTGTGACCACGTGCTAGACCCTGGCCTGAATTAGTGATGCCTCTTCTGTGTGGTTTGGGTTTATCATGAAGGAATCCCTGCATCCTCATTGTGTGAAAGCATCTTTATATGCTGAGTACTGATTCAGGCACTTTTCTGGGGCCGCTCTGGGGCCTGTGTGGACGAAATGGGGTGCAGTCTCCTTCTCGGTCTGGAGTGGCACTTACAATAGAGAAGTTAAGCACCATTTTTACGTTGAGGTAATTCTGCAAACTTTCCTTCCTTATCTGCTGGCTAACCTTCTGAGAAGAGACTTTTGTATCTGAGCATTAATTCAAGTGTTGTGGTCACTAATATGCCCAGGACAGGCTTAGAACCACCAGTCCGACAATATTCAAAGGTTTATTGCACAACCGTGCCCTCACACAGCGTGGAACTCTCCCAAGGGAGACTGACATTTTCCCATCTGAAGGGTCTCTAAAACCTGAACTGCCACAGTCTGGGTCAGAGCTGAAAGTGTCCCTTGGTCATACTTTCATAGGAGAAAAGAGTTCATCTGAATGGGGAGAAAGTTTGTGTCACTCTTGAGAGAAATACATGGCCACAGGCAAATAAGACTTGATTGCAGAATAATTTAGCCCTTGGACAGAAATTCAAAGCAGGGTTCAGAGGACAGCAGCAAAAGCCATGTGGCTGCTACTGGGCAGGATTCTGTCAGAAAACACTGTCAGTGACTCCAGGGCTGAATCTGGACTCTGCAGGGGGCGTGGCTGGGGCAAGGGGCATTATTGTGAAGACAATGGCCATTGTGCAGGGACCTGTGATCTCCACACCAAAGTCAGGGAGACTGTGAGGCAAACAAAGGCCCAGTAGCTTTCTGACAAGCTGGGGTTGTACAGAGGTCACCACAGGGTTGTTAGCTTAAGCCTTCTGTATTCTTACAGGAGACACAGAGGGTGGGGGCTAGAGGGGCAGGGGCAGGTACTGGAAACAGAGTAAGTGGGATGGGTGTGAGATGAATCCTGGGTACCCCTCGGCTGGGAGAAGAGACTGGTCGACTAGAAGACAGATTCTTTGAGGTGCCCCAGAAGTCTAGACCTTTAAAAAATAATCATAGAGTGTTAGAACTGAGAAGCATATAAAAGAAGGAAAATGAGGTCCAGAAAGAGGTACTGATATGTCAAAATAATAACAACAGCAGCAGAAGGACTCAAACACAGCTCTGCTTTCCCAAAGAACAAAAATGGTCACTAAAGTCTTTCCAAGTGCCAGGCACCAAGCTAGTGATAAGTAAAGATACACATTCCTACCACCTTGGATCTCACAGTCCAGTAAGGTATCATGAGTCTCCAGAACCTCAGAACCAACTGAGGATCAAGGTTACATTTTGGACCCTCATAGATCTTTCTAGGAAAGGAAGTAACAATCATGTTGTTGCTGTTATGTTTTTATGCCTGCGATTCACCCTGCTCTGTCCTGAGATAACCTTATAGTCTCTGACACACCTACTCCCATTACCCCAGTCAATGAGTCAATTCATCTCATCAAGGGTCTTCCTCTCTTGCACTGTCCCTTCACCCTCCCAAGCATCATGTCCTTCTCAAAGGACTGGTCCCTCCTTGTGACATGCCCAAAGTGTGTCACAGAACCCTGTATATCTTTCCGGGGAATCTTGGTAGTGGTGTGGTAAAGTGCTTGGCTGTTTACTAAAAGATTTGTAGTTGGAGTCCACAGGAGTTGCTCTGAAGAAAAAAGACAGCTACTTCCCTAGTGATTTAGACCTTTGGAAATCCCATAGCTCTGATGAAAACAGGAACTCTAGTAGCCGAGTGGGTAAGGAACTGTGCTGCCAGTCTAAGGGAGGGCGGTTCAAATTTAGTAGCTGCTCCTAGGGAGAAAGATGGGCATTCTTCTCCTGGTGATTTGCAGTCTCTGAAAATCCACAGAGGGTCAGCTATGAGTCGGTTCCAACTTGATGGCAATGATGAGCTTTTTTAAAATAGGGCAGTTCTACTTTGTACCATAGGAATAGCAACAGCCAGAATCAACCTATAGCAATAGGCTTCTGATGCCTATTTTCAGTGAGTATATTACACTCACTATCTCAGACTTTACTCTGGACTAATCAAGTCTTTGCCCCAAGTCCAGGGGCTGGATTCCTTGAACTTAGTGTTGTTGTTCTGGGGTAGGGGGAGAAGAAGGCCACAAACACCCAGCATTAACTTAGTTTTGAACGATGATTCTACAATGTAAGTTGTAGCTTTAGCTAATTCACATAACTTCTCCATGTCTGAGTCTCCTATCTGTAATTCTGAGTAATAGGGCGTACTTCACAGGGCCCCTTTGGGATCAAAGGGGGGGGGAATGTAAAACCATTTCCCCTGGTAAATCTTAACTGCTATCATCATTACTCTTACTAGAGAGAAGCTACAGTGAAAAGAATTTTAGGCAACAAAAATATTTTCTTTTTCATTTCACACACTGGGACATTATTCCTGAGAAATAATGAGATGTGTCTTGGCCAAGGACCTAGAAGCAGAGGCAGCTGCTGTGTTATGACCTGGACAGTCCAGAAGCTGAGACCCCCTACTGCCTTGTGCCCCTTTCTCAGGCTGCCAGGGAAGCCCATGGGTTCTAACAGCCCTCAAGGGAGGCATCCCAGGCTACCTAGGCCAACAGGCTAGAGCCCAGCACTCCAAATAAGGCTTTTGTTCGCAGTATCTCTTCATTGTCCCAGTGGTCAAGATTTGATCTCCAGGCAAGCCCAAAATGTAACTGAATACAGAATTTAGAAAAGGAAAAAAGTCTCATGGTAGCAGCTTCTAAGGTTGAAATGGATGGCAACAAGGTCCCAATGCCTCCTCCCTGCTTCCCATCACTTTCTACTCCCCAAACACCAGCATGGAAGCTAGAAGAGCTGGACTACCTCAAAGACAAAGCCACCCTTGGGACCACTTTCCCTGAGAAGCAGAGCATCCTCTAACTGAGCCCTTCCCTCACTGGCCATAGTGGGCTCCCTGTGGCCCACTTGGCCCATACTGACCACAGTGTGACCCTGGTCCTGGAATGTGGGGCACAATGGAGGTGGCAGGAGGAGCACTTTGCCTCTGTCAGCGGCTGATTGGGTACAAGGTGCCCCACAAACACACTGTCAGCAGAATCAGCTGTTTTCAGCATTTCCCTCCTCAGCTTTACAATCACACACCAGCATGCAGCCAAGGGTTGTCATGGCATTGTCGCCTTTATGCATGCTTAATTGACAATTAAGCTGGGGCTTTGAATCGGCCTGGCTGCTGCTGATGAGCCTTCATCTTTCCAGTGAGAGTCACAGGGACACCCTTTGTTTGCTCTTCTTGGGGGCCTGAAGTTACTGTAGCGGGCTGCAGGCAGCCATTTATCTTCAGCCTAGAAGCCCTTTATCTGCCCCCTCCCCATTTCAGCTCTCGCCAGCAGGAGCTGTCCCCGGTTATAGGCCCGGTGACAGCCCATTCTGAGGCCTTTGAGCAGACCCGGAGTGATGGCCTCTGTCTCCATTCTGGAGCTGAATCAAGAGAAAGGCCCCCAAAAGGTCAGAGGGCAGGGCCGGCGCAAGGAAGAGGGCTGGTTGGAGACTGGTGCTCATATTGATCTGTTCAAGGAGGAGGAGGAAGTTGGCTAGGGACAGAGTTAAGGCAGCTTTGGCACAAGCCAAGAGGACCCAGCTGCATGATCTGCAGTGGCCTTCCTTGTTCATTGCACCCTTTGCTCCAGCCTGCCACAAACTGAGCTAGGTGCTTGCACAGAGAAGGAAAGAGCAAAAAGTCTGCCTCTGTTTTCATTCTCCCTACATGTATTGAGGGTCTGGTCACCTTGAGAGAAGATGGAGAGCCTCATTCTCCTGGAAAGGTCCACAGAGGAGAAGTGGCAGAATGAAGGGGTCTTTCTGGATATCTTTTAATATCTTGGACCATGGACACTGCCTAAGACTCCAAAACTCACTGCCATGAAGGCAGACTTGACTCACAGCTGACCTCCAGCAGGGTTAGGGAGGTGGTAAATCACAGGAGAGGAGACTGCCCCTCTATCTCCCAAGGAGTCGCTGGTGGATTTGAATCGCCAGAGTCGCTGCCTTTGAGTTAGCAGAGCAAGCCTCTCAGGACTCCACTATCAGAGCTCCCTTTACCCAAGAGGAGAGGCCCTGATTTCTGTGGCTGTTCCTCCTCTCTCCCTTCCAACCCCATTCCCCTCTCTCAGCTCAGTGAACTTGCCTCTACTGCCAATCAGATCACAGACTGAAAAGCAGAATCTTGCCTCCTGCCTCTGTCACCTCTCCCTTACACTTCTCCCCAAGTTGCCTGAAGGAGTCTAACCCTGAGTCTTAGAAAAACGGAACTCTGAATCAGGTGACCCAACATTAAAGTCTTCAGGATTCAAGGAGATCTCAGCAACGCCCAGTAGCAAGGTTGTGCCTA